GAAGGATTCCCAGGTAGTGAGAAAGAGATTGAAACAAAATTGTCAGCAGGGTGCTAATGGAAGTTACCAAATCCTTAGGTATTGGATTGGCCAAAGTGTGGGATTTCCATAACGTTTTATGGAAAACCTGTAACAAATGTTTTGGCCAACCAAATAAATCTTCATATGATAAAACTCCTCTGCCTCCAGCCTTCTGGCATAGAAGGAAAAATTAAATCACTTCAAGTATATCTGCCACAATCACAAATATTCTCAGCCTTTGTTCATTCTAGACTCCAGTCAATTTAAATATAAGCTCTGTGAAAGTGTTAGTCACTCAGTCGTGTCCAACTCTTTGTGACCCTATGAACTGTAGCCCACCAGGCTCCTCTGTCAATGGGATTTTCCTGTCAAGAATACTGGAGTGGGTTACCATTTCCTTCTCCAGGGTATCTTCCTGTCCAGGGATTGAATCTGGGTCTCCTGCATTGCTGGCAGATTCTTTACCATCTGAGCTGTACTTTTGTTGATGTGTCTTTGGAGTTTGTAGAGCAGTGTAGGATCCTGCAAGATCCAGTGAACCTTCGTTAAATAGAAGAATGGAGCCTGCAATTGAGCACCCTCAGGCTCTGTCTCATGGCCTGTTCTTATCAGAACGTTAACACAGCCTTGGCCCACAGCAAGAGTGTGTTTCAAACCCATAGATATCACAGAGCTTTCAGAATGAAGGTCAAAATCATCCTTGACAGGATGGAACTGTGGTCCCAGACTAGCTAGGTCAAATTTTGTAAGAATACAAAATAGAGACTAATCTCAGTACAACTCAGCATTGCAAACACAGCTTCTGACTAGAATAACCTTAGGCTGTGTGTGTAGAAATGAAATATCGAGAGAAGGGAAAGGCAGTCCTGCTCCCCTCTGTACTGGTCAGACCATGTCTCAGTCACTGAGTCTAGTTCTGGGTGCCCAGTTTTATAGCAAATATTTTTAAGTAAGTGCTTATTAAGAAGTACAAAACACAAATGGCCTGGAGACCCTGCCCTCTGAGGGCTGATTTAAGGGGTCTGAGGAGATTAAGGCGAGGGGAAAAGCCTGTACATGAGAGTTGCCTTGAGGAAAATGGGTCAAGCACTCTCAGTATGACTGCACGCAGTGAACTGTGACCAACAAATAGAAAGTGCGAAAGTCGATTTGGCTCAATATAAAGAGGTGTTTTCTATAAGGTATGATACACTCTGACTATACAGGAGCAGGTCTCTGTCACCACAAGTGGGCAAGCACCAGCTAGATGACCAATATATAAGGTATATTCTGGAAGGGACTCTTGCACTGAATGGTAGGTGGCACCAGGCAGGCTTCCAACCTGGGGGACCGACTGGCCCATAGAGAGGTTTTGTTTGTTCTACAAGTGGCTTTTTATAAATGCCTTTGAGAGACAAACACTCTGGAGTCCAAACCATCTACACTGCTCTCTATTGTCTTGAATCTTGCTGCTTCACATACTTTTGTGAACTGCTCAGCTGCCACCGGCAATTTGAGTTTGCATAATCTGAAAGGCACAGTCCAGTTTGAAGATAATTTGCCTCTGAGATGCAACTTCACCACGGAGCTGTCATGGAATTTTCTCCCATTGTGGAATGGAAGAGAAAAGAACTTGACAAAGAGACAGCAGCCTAAGGTTGAACCATTTCTTTTGCTCTGCACAATGAAGTGTACATCACACCTTGAAAGTGAACGTGAAAGTGAAAGTCACTCAGTGGTGTCCGACTCTTTGCGACCCCATGGACTGAGTGCTCCAGACCAGAATACTGGAGTGGGTAGCCTTTCCCTTCTCCAGGGGATCATACCAACCCAGGGATTGAACCCAGGTCTCCTGCATTGCAGGCAGATTCTTTACTAGCTGAGCCACCTTAAAGGCTCCTTTCTCTCCCATCCCTTATTTGTGTTTCAATCCCATAGGCTTCTTTCTTCCTGAGCCTCTAGGACTCAGAGTTTTTATCACTAACTCGGCTCAGAAAAGCCGCCCCTTCTTGTTGACTGGAACTTCCCACGTGGCACTAGTGGTAAAGAACTCCCCTACAGTGCAGCAGACGTAAGAGACACAGGTTTCATCCTTGGATCGGGACGATCTCCTGCATGAAGGCATGGCAACCCACTCCAGTATTCTTGCCTGGATAATCCCGTGGACAGAGGAGCCTGGAGGGCTACAGTTCATAGGGTTGCAAAGAGTTGGATGCGACTTAGCAAGCACTCATGTTGACTTATCTGCTTAAGCCATTCAGACACTCTTGTCAAACCCTGGCTCTTCTGTGCTGTGGTTGATGTAATGCTGCCACCTGGTGATTATTTGGACAAAGTGCCTGAGGCATCGTTCTCTCAGGCAGAAATGTTTCACACTCCTGAGTTGGTGAAGCAATCTTGCCCCGGCAGATTCTACCTAAATGGAAGGGTAACATCTTAACTCTGTGAGGACAGCTCTGTGCTGAATAAGATAATTTCTAATAAATATTAATAATGGAACTCATTAATTATATTTAATGATATAGCCAACTCATTGGAAAAGACCCTGATGCTGGGAAAGATTGAAGGAGAAGGGGGCAACAGAGGATGAAATCATTAGATATCATCACCAAACTCAGTGGACATGAATTTGAGCAAACTCCAGGAGTTAGTGGAGGACAGGGAAGCCTGGTGTGCTGCAGTCCACGGGGTCAAAGAGTCAGACATAATTTAATGACTGAACAACAGCAATGATTGAGTTGTGATAGACTATAATATCAAGATAAGTCCTGCAGTAAAACTGTGTATATAATTACATCATCTTTTCCATGTCCATAAATTCTTCACATATATATTACTGGAGAGTATCCTCTTTGCAACCCCAGAAGCAACATTATCAACAAACTTACTTTTTTCCCCATGAGGAAACAGAGAGAGTAAGTGGCATACCCAAAACCACACTGCTAGTGAGTAGGAGAGTCAGAATCTTAACTCAGTAGATCTGGATCTGAGTTTTCTAAAAACTGAGTTTTCCAGAGGACTCAGTTATGGGGACAAATTAGATCTTTGTACATTGGAAGCAATTCAAGCCCCTCCCCACCCCCACCCCCAGCCCTATGGGACTGGCAGAGTGGGAGAATCAGCAGTCTAAGGACATGACAAACCCACTATGGGGTTGGTGGTGGTTTGAAACAGGATCCACCCAGTAGAAGAGGATTTGAATAACAATAAGGGGGAAAGGACTGGTAGGGGTAAGAGATAAGGAATAAGTAAGTCAAGGCCCCAGTCTTGTGGAGTAAGGAAGAGCTATGACTCCCTGGGCTTATTAAGTGCATAGGGAAAATCCTATTGGAGATGATGAGGCTTCTAAAGTTCCACCTGTCTTGGCCTCAGTAGTTTCAGGAACTGGGTTGAGTCAGCCTGCTGGTGCAGGCACTAATTCCATTACTTTTGCCAGAGAGTAATGGACTATATTGTCTTCTAAGTCATGCCCTCCCTCATATTACATACTAGGTGTAAGGGTTGGGGGGAGTGCTAAATGATATACATTTGTCTTTGTCTGTTTGCTTAATCATCCATTATAGCCATCCTGGACTAGGCAATTTCTCATTCTTTGTATCATGTAATTCCTACCACTCTAAGAGAATATTCAGAATTCACAAACCTAGTTTTGAGATGTTTATCATCAAGTTGCCAAAAAAGGGTGGGTTATAGACTTTTAGTCTTCTGAAGAAACTAAACTGTCAGTAAATTGAACCACATTTTCCTGTTGACTTGCTCAAAATGATTCAGATGCATGTATTTGATCTCTAAAACACAAGATAAATAAGGTTCTACACTAGACAGAGGGGGCTTTCCTGGTGGCTCAGAGAGTAAACAATCTGCCTGCAATACAAGAGATGCAGGTTTGATCCCTGGGTCAGGAAGATCCCCTGGAGAAGGGAATGTCAGCCCACTCCAGTATTCTTACCTGGAGAATTCCATGGACAGAGGAGCCTGCTGGGCTACAATCCAGGGGGTCGCAAAGAGTTGGATGCGACTGAGCAAATAATACACACATTGGAGAGAACTATGCCCAATTCCACCATCAAAGAGAAGTTCTAATTCACTTAAATCAGGTTCAGGGGCTATTTTTGCTTATTATGGGTGTTTGTGCTTTACACAAATACAGTTAACTAAACATAACAGTTATATAAATATATCCCTTTTAGAGGAAATTACTCTCTGCTTTTTAGGGATCCTTCATGTTTGCATTTGGACCAGATTGCCTTGAAACTACCAGTATGTAGATGGATGGGCTCTAACCTATAATTCTGTTCTAGTGCTCTAATATATCATTTCATCCCAGAGTTATGAGAAAGGGAAATAATGGCAACCATTTTATATGGAGCTTATATTCTAGAATAACAATTGCTTAGGCATTATCTGGAAAGCTTAAAGAATAATGATGTACTGGGAGTCCTTCACAGGTTGTGGCACAAATCTTGCACCAAAACAAATAAAGCAAAAGTGAAAAGTTGCAGAGTCTGTTTTGGCCATTCTTCAGCAAGTTTCAACTATCCTGTTGAATATTTTTGGGTCTCCTAATGTTTAAATAGCATGGTGGAAGGGAGATGTAACTTTCAGTCCTTTGCAATATACATACACAAATATACATATTTGGGTGTTTTTGTCTTGTCAGCGTGGCATTTAAGGCATATGCATTTCCTTCCGGGTTTTCTTTTCCTTAGTAAAGATGTATCTCACAATCAGATTGCTATTTAGTTTTAAGAAATGTTAGTTCCTCTTCCTTTGTTTCATGCTTTACTCCTTGTAACAGGAAACCAGTGACACAGTTTTACATGGACCGCTGATGACTAAGGGAAAAATCTTGAAAAATTCCCTCATTCCTTTATACCTTCACACAGTGGACATCTCTTGAGGATCTATGGTGGGTCAGGCACAGAGAGGATTTGACCTCAGTCTGGCTGCCTGTCTGTTTTCACTTTACTCACCGGAGGTCTCTTTGCTCCTTTCTGCAGCAGCCGTGGCGAACAGGGCAAACAGCTTCCAATCTGACAGCAGCGGGTTCCTGGAGGAGCCCCCGGAGCCACCAGCCCTGCAGGTAGAGCGCCCCCTGAGGGCTGAAGTAGGAATAGAAGGACTGACAAGATTAAAGTGTGTTCGCACAGTGGAAAAAGAGCAACCAGTGCTTAGAAGACATGCGGCAGGCGCCCACGGGACAGGGGAGAGTGGAGTCACCGTGGGCAAGTGCAGAGAGCTCAGTGCTCCTTTCCTTTTTATTTTCTTTCGATTTTTCGGAAGAAAGTAACTGAGCCTCATTGAAAGAAGGTCCCAGGTAAAGGGCTTCCCAGATGGCCCAGCAGTGAACCTGCCAATGCAGGAGACCCAGGTTTGATCCCTGGCTTGGGAAGATCCCCTGGAGAAGGGAATGGCAACCCACTCCAGTGTTCTTGCCTGGAAAATCCCATGGACAGAGGGGCCTGGTGGGCTACAGTCCTTGGGATCGCAAAGAGTCAGACATGACTGAGCAATTAAACAACAGCAAAGTAGTAAACTCACATAAACCTGATTTTGTAATCCTTGTCTCATGATGCCTAAGTCAATGATAATGGGGAAAAAATGTAAAATGAAGCATTTCTTAAACCTAGTACCTCTCCCTCATTTCTGACTCATTTGCCTTTATTCCCATTTTTCCCACAGATAATTCCCTTGTCAAGCAGCCCGAGTCTTGCTGAGAATGGTTATGGAACGCCAAGGGCTCAGAGCCACAGCTTAGAGTCCTGTCAGCAAGAGTCAGATGAGTCTGATTCCAAGAGTATAGTGAGCACATCTTTTTCAAGTCAAGACTGGAGTGTCTTGGAAGAGAAAGCCTCAGCCTCTATGGTGGAGAAAGAGTCTCAGTCAGAGGGCATGGGGTTGACCGCAGAGCTGTGGACCCAAGATCTGGCCCTTGATAAGAGCATCCCTAGGGGAGAACTCCCAAGGAAATGTGGCCATCTGCAGCAACACCCGCCCGTGCCCCAAACTGAATACGAGGCCACTGCACGCACATTTCCCTTCAAAGATGGTAGCTCTGTGGGTGTTACGATGACACACATCACAGATGCCAAGGATGGGCTTCTGTGGCCTGAGCGAGCTGGGGAAGTATATGTGCACAACCACCCTTGTGAGTCTGTGAGGTCGCCCGGAACTGATCCTGCTCCAGACAAGTCCCCTCATGATGACTCAGAGGCCCCAAGAGGAACAGAAGGCAGTAAACTCTGTCCTTCCATCAACAGTGCCTTACTGATGCAAAACAGTGTCTCACAGCATGTCCCCACGCCCAGGGAAGCCATGTCTTATACAGGGGACCTTGTTCAAGCTTCTGAAATGTCCATTCTCCATCTAGATAAGGTGGCTGGAGATAGTCCCCGAGGGAGACCAGTGTGTAGAGCTTTGGGTCAAATGCCACCTAGGGAAGAATCTGAGATGGGAGACCTTCCTCCAGATACTAACTTACATGCTGCTAGCTCCATGTCTGTGACAATCCAGCTGTCCTCCAAACTGGCATCACCTGCTCAGAATGCTGTGGTCTTGGGAACGGATTGTAGAGGAGAGATTTTAGAATGCACTGTGTGTGACCCTGTTACTGCAGCAGAACCAGGACTGGGGTCGGAAGCAAGACAGTTCAATGATGTTTCTGTTCAGACTGACACATGGGAGCCTCCGCCCTGGCACTGCTGTTCAGCTCCAGGTAAAAAGGCCCCGCCCCTCACCAAATCTGTCTCTTTAGACACGGGCTTCCCTAGGAACTACCCAGGGGCCATCTGCCAAGCTGTGCCCGTCCACTGCTATATCTGCTGTCATCACCACCTCCACTGCCCCGCGGAGAGGCAGAGCCCCAGCTCTATGTCTTCAACTTGTTGGCATTGCTTATGCTTACATAATCATCTGGAAGGCCAGCTCATGAAGACTTTGAAAGTCCTTCAGGACACTACAGTGAGGGAACTGTATTCTGTAAGTATTTGCCTCCACAAAGTGGGGAAGCAGACGCAGCAACAATACATACCTCAGGGAGGATGCTCAGCCTTCCTTTCTGAATGCGAGCTCTCAGGATATACCTTTCCATTGCAAATCATGAGTAATAGCTATAGAGTGCTTTATTGTTTATAATATACTCTCGCAGATGTCTTTTTTCTTTAAAGGTAGCCACTGCCTTAGTTCTAAACTGCTCTGATTTAACGCCTGTAGAAATTTATTTGATATTGTCTTAAGCAGCAAGCACTGTCAATAATTTTAATTTATTTACTTATTTTTATTTATTATTTATTTTTGGCCATGTGGCTTGTGGGATTTTAGTTCTCGACCAGGGATAGAACCTGAGTCCCTTGCAGTGGAAGCATGGAGCTCTAACCATTGGACAACCAGGGAATTCCCACAAATTTCTTCTTATTTGATATTTCCAATCACCTTATGAAGGAAGGAAAGCAAATTTTATCATTAACCCCCATTTTACACTGGGATATAAAACAGTACATTCATAGGTAAGGTTCTAAACATTCATACATCTGTATCTCCTCTTCAGTTCAGTCTAACTGAAAATTCTCTTATATTCACTTACCTGTATAATCGTGAGGAAGACGTGTCATCTCTCAGAGCTTAGTTCCATCTTGTAAAATAGGGAGATTATTTCTGTCACTGACACAGGATTGTTTTAGGATTAAATGAGAGAAAACTTATAAGGCACTCAGCACAGTCAGACGCTCAGTGCCTGACACATAGAAAGCCCTAAAAAAATGCTAGTTGTGTGTGGTTGTCAATTTTTGTTAGTATTTTCTTATTGTTCAGATCTTGCATATAGAGCTTGTCATGTCAAATAGAGGAACTTTTGGTCTACTTTTGCTAAGCTTGTTTAAAAGTGTTCATTGAGGTTACTGAGAACTGAAGGACCCTCAGCCCTGTCCAGTCCCTGATAAATCAACAAGCATTTAGCAAGTCCTTCCAACGACCCCTCTTCAGCAGTTCTCAAGGTCAGAAATAATCTGGGCTGTCAAGGTTAGCCACTGATTTAAAAAATTATGAGTGTGACACTTGAAACTTTTTTTCCACAAGGTGGTAAAAAAGATAGCGCATATATTGTAGGACTACAGCTGTTCAGAGGAGAATGGAAGGCAACTATAGTTTACTGGGTTCCTGCTGTTTGGTGCCTTCTATATTACCTTCCCATTCTTTTAATTCCACAAATATTTACTGAGTGCTATTCTAAGCATTTTATCTATGCCATGTCAAATAACCCTCATTTTCATCCATACCATAAATTTGTATTGATTCCCTAGTATGTGTCAAGTCTTCCCTCTATTACAGATGAGAAAGGAAGAACTGAGAGAGTTTAAGTAATTTTCCATCTTCCCCCAACTACTGAGTACTAAGTCTAGATTCAAATTAAGACTTAGCTGACACCAGCTTCTTGGACAATACATTCCAAAGATGTGTCCAACTTTAAGATATGTCCATCTGTGTAAGTGAAATAGTAACATAAGAAAGTGATTGTTTGAAAGATACAGCAAATTATTACATGATCCTTCAACATATAAAAATCTGTATAAATGTAATATAAACATTGAAAGTGATTATATAAAAGATAAAATAATTTACTACTTTTTTTCAGATTTCAAAACTCTCAGGTATTTGTAATATTTTAAAATGAGTCACTAGTGAGGGCTGAACTAGTTAAAGAAGGTGTCAAGTTCAGTTCTAGATATAATATTATTCTGAAGCTCAGTGGGAGCAAAGAATTCTTGCATATAGAGCTTGTCATGTCAAATAGAGGAACTTTTGGTCTACTTTTGCTAAGCTTGTTTAAAAGTGTTCATTGAGGTTACTGAGAACTGAAGGACCCTCAGCCCTGTCCAGTCCCTGATAAATCAACCAGCATTTAGCAAGTCCTTCCAACGACCCCTCTTCAGCAGTTCTCAAGGTCAGAAATAATCTGGGCTGTCAAGGTTAGCCACTGATTTAAAAAATTATGAGTGTGACACTTGAAACTTTTTTTCCACAAGGTGGTAAAAAAGATAGCGCATATATTGTAGGACTACAGCTGTTCAGAGGAGAATGGAAGGCAACTATAGTTTACTGGGTTCCTGCTGTTTGGTGCCTTCTATATTACCTTCCCATTCTTTTAATTCCACAAATATTTACTGAGTGCTATTCTAAGCATTTTATCTATGCCATGTCAAATAACCCTCATTTTCATCCGTACCATAAATTTGTATTGATTCCCTAGTATGTGTCAAGTCTTCCCTCTATTACAGATGAGAAAGGAAGAACTGAGAGAGTTTAAGTAATTTCCCATCTTCCCCCAACTACTGAGTACTAAGTCTAGATTCAAATTAAGACTTAGCTGACACCAGATTCTTGGACAATACATTCCAAAGATGTGTCCAACTTTAAGATATGTCCATCTGTGTAAGTGAAATAGTAACATGAGAAAGTGATTGTTTGAAAGATACAGCAAATTATTACATGATCCTTCAACATATAAAAGTCTGTATAAATGTAATATAAACATTGAAAGTGATTATATAAAAGATAAAATAATTTACTACTTTTTTTTCAGATTTCAAAACTCTCAGGTATTTGTAATATTTTTAAATGAGTCACTAGTGAGGGCTGAACTAGTTAAAGAAGGTGTCAAGTTCAGTTCTAGATATAATATTATTCTGAAGCTCAGTGGGAGCAAAGAATTAAGGGTAGTGTACAGCTGGGGTCCTTTGGAGTAAAAAGACAAAGGTTCAAATTCTGAAGAATAGTAGGAGTCACTGTCATTGTCATCATCAATGTTAATGAGAGACTGTAAATGCTGTACAACAGTGATTTCCAATTGGAAATAATTTGCCTCCAGCCCTGGTGCCATTTGGCAATGATAGGAGACATATTTGGTTGTCATAACTGGGGTAGGTGCTACTTGAATTTCACGGGTGGAGGTCAGGGATGATGCTAAACATCCTGCAATACATAAGTCAGCCCCTTAAAACAGAGAACCATCTGACCTAAAATGTCAATAATGTCAAAGTTTAAAAACTTAACTCTAAAGGAATAAACTGGACCATATAGTTCATGTAGGAAAATGTTAGAAATGAAAGATGGCTGGAGAAGGTGATATATTAAGAGGCTATAAGGGAAAAATATTAAATCCTACAGTTAGATACTCCAGTTTTCATGGTAAAAACCAGATTGTTGATCTAACATATATTGAAATAATATTTTTTCTAATTTACATTTTTAAGATGTTTTACAGGAATATATAAATTAAATCATATTTGGCTTTATATTTTGTTCCCAATAATAAAGTATGAAAATCAAGACTGTGTTTAAGATTTCTGAACAAAGGCACAGATAGAGTGTGCTCTTGTGGGTTACCTAAGATAATGGTTTGTTGATATGATTAAATCTTATAAATAAGTGAATTATTCACAATAATCTGTTAATTCAATAAATTTTTTTCAGACAAGAAAATGAGGCATATACAGAATAAGAATTTTTGATATTAGAAGATTCATCTATAATGTTTATGATTTAGATTTAAAGAAAAAAGTCATATGAATTTTTTAAAGTAATATGAGCCAATTTTTAAAAGTAACATGAGCCATTGGAAGGACTGATGCTGAAGCTGAAGCTCCAATACTTTGGCCACCTAATGCAAAGAGCCGACTCACTGGCAAAGACCCTGTTGCTGGGAAAAATTGAGGGCAAGAGGCGAAGGAAGCAACATAGGATGAGATGGTTGGATGGTATCACCGGCTCAATGGACGTGAGTTTGAGCAACTTCCAGGAGATGGTGAAGGACAGGGATGCCTGGCGTGCTGCAGTCCATGGGGTCCAAAAGAGTTGGACATGACTGAGCAATTGAACAACAATGAGCCAATCAAACATGAAGGGTCAATATTGTTGCTCTTACTGTTGAAATTAAAGTTTGTTTTAAGGCCCAGCTTGGATCAGAGATTGGGGCATCTCTGGTGGCTCAGATGGTAAAGAATGTGCCTATAATTCAGGAAACTCAGGTTTGATACCTGGGTCAGGAAGATTTCCTGGAGAAGGGAATGGCAACTCACTCTAGTATTCTTGTCACGCTAATATTCTTGCCTCAAGAATTCCATGGCCATGGGGTTGCAAAGAGGCAGACGTAACTGACACTTTCACTTTTGGGGGGAATCAGAGAGTAGATACTGCATTGTATTTTAATTAAAACCTAGTCTTGATGTTGGAAAAAAAGACTTCAAAACAATCTCCTTTTTTTTCCCCCTTCTTGCCTAAAGAAAAGTGAAAATTGTTAGTTGTTCTGTTCTGTCTGGCTCTCTGTCTTTCGAATTCCCCAGGCAAGAGTACTGAAGTGGGTAGCCATTCTCTTCTCCAGGGGATCTTCCCTACCCAGGTATCAAAGCCAGGGCTCCCATATGACTGGCAAATTCTTTACCATCTGAGCCACTTAAGGGTTCCTTTTTGTCTGAATCCAATTTTTGTCTGTTCTAGAGTGGAAATGCAGTTTCAGTGTTCCCAAATGACCAGGAGATGGCAGCATTTCAGAATCTCCCACATCACTCCCTTCACAGCGAGCACTCACACCATCAATTATTCCTAAATCCCAGCCCCCATGCCTTCCAATCACAACGGTGATTGGATATCTAGGTGAAGCATAAAATTCTTTTATAAAGTTCAGCCTACTTGAGCACCATAGTTCATTGCCCTGACCTCACTGTTTCTAGAACTCAGTCACCTTGTAAGAACTCACTGCCTGATCAGCTCACTCCTAAGGGACAAATAACTTCATGTGACCAGCTACACTGTAGCTGACAAATTGACTGGGCTTGGTGGCTGCAAGGGACATTCAAATAGGGAAACCAAGGCAACAGCCTAGCCATATAGAGCATAAGGTTTAAACAGTGATTCACATCAGGAACAATGGGGAGCAGAATTGGAAGGGCAGACAGTTCAGTTCTAGATTCCAGTCCATGGAGGATGGGATGCCTAGTCTATGCCTGCCTCACTGTGAATGAGCTTGTGAACTGGTGGGGCTGATTCTGCAGATTTCAACCACAAGACACTGTGATTGAGCAGTTGTCATTTAGTCGCTAAGTTGTGTCCAGATTTTTTGCAACCCCACGGACTGTAGCCCTCCAGGCTCCTCTGTCTATGGGATTTCCCAGGGAAGAATACTAGAGTGGGTTGCCATTCCCTTCTCCAGGAGATATTCCCAACCCAGGAATCAAACCCTCATATCCTGCATTGACAAGAGGATTCTTTACCAGTGAGCCACTAGGAAAGCCTGTGGTTAAGCACAGCTAAGACTAGTAAAATGTACTCTAAGCAGACTCTCTAATCAAGCACATATCACCCAATAGATGTGTTCAATATCACTGAGATTCAGAGTGAGGCAGAACTCAGCACCAACGTAAAACAAGATTATACAAGACTCAACTTTTCTAAGCACAAGCCTGCATTATGCTGGCCCTACCCCTCTGATCCTGTCTACATCCTTGCACCCCTATATTACCTAGGTTTCCAGACTGACTTCTTGTCCCTGGAACATAATGTCTCCAAGGGTCATCCAATAGTCACCGCTCTCTTGTCCCAGACACGTATGTCTCTAGTTGCCTGAAAAAGCCGAAGTCTAGGCTTTTCCTGTTCTCTCTCCAGCACATTAGCAGCAGGGCTGCATTGCACACAAGTAAGCCCAGGTGGGAAGGCAGCTGCCACTGCCGTGAACTCTTACAGTGACTCAGAAAGCCCTCGCTTCCCAGCTCTTTCTAATTGTTCGCAGTGCACAGTCCATGAGATGGAAACAATGAAGACGGTGTGCCAGAGTTTCCGGGAGTATTTAGAAGAAATTGAGCAGCACCTCAGAGGACAACAGGCACTGTTTTCCAGGGACATGACAGAGGAGGAAAGGTAATCATCTAAAAGAGCCATAAAAGCAAGTACCAGCCTGCATACCTGGAGCAAGGAAAGGTAATCAGGGCAGGACAGATGTGCAGCAGGGAGCAGGGCTAATGAGAAACTGGCCAGTTTTTCCTTGCTTTCCTGTTCCAGGTCTCACTTTCTCAGTGGGAGTCTGTGAGAGCCATTTACTGGATAGCAACACTTACTTTTCAAGGCCAGGGCTCCTTGAGGTCAGAAAATGGGCAGCTGCTGGGAAGAGGGGGCTAGCCAGCAGGGTATCTTTAATCATCGTGAATGGGGCTCTCACAAAAGCATTATTGGCGGTTTGTTAGAGTTTTGAAAATCTGCACTGTTTTCATATAGATGAAAAGTATATGTCCCAAAAGTAGATTAGGTATTGCCTGGGGCTGGGGATAGGAATAGGGATTAGCTTGTAGCGGGGCATGAGGCTTCTTACTGGCGAAATGGAAGTGTTCCAAAATTGAATGATGGTGATAGTTACACACTTGGCAGATTTACTAGAATTATATTCTTAAAATAGGTAAACTTTTTGGTAAATAGACCAGGTGTCACTAGTGGTAAAGAACCCACCTGCCAGTGCAAGAGACATAAGAGACTCAGGTTCAGACTCTGGTCTGGAAGATCCCCTGGAGAAGGGCATGGCAACCCACTCCAGTATTTTTGCTGGAAAATCCCATGGACAAACGAGCCTGGAGGGCTACAGTCCACAGGGTCACAAAGAGTCAGACACAACTGAAGCAACTTAGCACACACATATACGGTACATTAATTATTCTGCAACAGAGTTGTTTAAAAAAGAAAGAAAACTTGCCCTAATAATAAACCCATGCATGCAACTGAGACAAATAAAGACGGTGACTCTCTCTTTTAAGATGTGTCAAATGTATGACCTACATTTTGAGAGGCACCATGGAAGACTGTGCCTGGAGGTGATTGTGAAATCGGGTTATTTCCTATTATTTACCCACAGGGAGGAGGCTGAGCAATTGCAGACTTTACGGGAAGCCCTGCGGCAGGAGGTGGAGGAGCTGGAGTTTCAACTGGGAGACCGGGCTCAGCAAATCCGAGAAGGGATGCTATTGGTACAGGCCATGGGGTGTGGGGTTTACTAGATCCCACCCACTGTAGCAGGGATGCATTAAATGATAAACATGATTGTACAGTCATTCCAGATTCTAAGATTAGATGCCAACACCTTGATTTTAAATATAAAGAAATTGAAGCCCAGAGAAGCACGTTGCCTTGCTCAGGGCCACATAGCTGGCTGGTTACGATTCAGGACCAGAACTCAGGTCAGCTAGCCTCCATGCCAATCTTTTCCTCTGCCCTGTAAGCAATAGATAAGTGTTAGTGGCCCATTTCCCAAATGAGAATAAGAAAGCATTTTTTACCTCGTGTAGGCTAAGTCATTGCTGAAATCTGTTGTCATCACAGTGAACCCACCCTAGAGAATTCACCAAACGCCAGTGCCTTTCCCACCAATCTGAGTTAGCCACTTCATGTAAATATGGGAAGTGGTCCACACATTTTGTTCTTGTTTTCTTTTTAGGAGCTTGAGCTTCTCACAGGGGAACCACCTGAAAATGACACAAATCTACATCGATATAACTGGACAGGAGGAAAGAGTGGCCGGACTTCATGTGCTAAGATCCACTCTGCCATGCATCCTGGGGCTGCCCTTCCTCCTGGTGATGGCCAACAGCCTCCCTGCTCAAGGTCCCATTTAGCTACCTTTACTCCACACATCTTGGGGAGCAGTACCAGGATGTCTCCGCCATCATGGGCAGAATTAGATCCAGGCCCTCCATCAAATTGTCCTGTTGGAGAAGAGGATACAGATGTCTTCCTCTAGGTCAGAGCAAGTTTGATGACCTTCCTACAAAATGTAAAAGCACATGCTAGCCAGAGCAAGCATATCTAAATTTTCCCTAAGGAGAAATACCTATCAATCCTTCATCAGCTGTTTTTTTAATATTCTACTCTATGGTTAAACCTGGGAGGGATATGTTAATATTCATTTGATATAGGATAAGTGAGCACCTACTATGTGCCTAGCGTAGAGTGCAATAGCCAAGATAGATAGATACATACCTCAAGGTATATGTGGTGTCCAGTCTTTGCCCTGCTGAAACTTAGAGTATGCTGGGGGAGACAGAATGTAAACATATACATAGGTATGAATTTGAAAACTGTGAACGTGCTTTGAAGGAAATATATTAACAGGATTTCATGAAAAAGAGTGTACCAGGGAGTCTGAGTTAACATCAACATATCAGGAGGGTCTGCTTGAACGAGTGACAATAGCAAGAGGAAAGAAGATCCAGGTCTCAGAGGTACCAGACTGTCCTAAAGCCTTGCGTCAGTCAGCGAGCGAGACTTACTAAGGAGGCATCCCCCAGGTGTCAGGACCTCCTCTTGTGCTAGAGACAGAGCTATAAACAAGACACGATTTCTACTCACAAAGAATTGGAGCAGGAGGGAGAGGCAGCAACCACACCAACAAACCAGTAAATAAGATAGTGTCAGGTCTGCGCCGTGGTGAAGACTCCGTGATGATATTGTAGAAGATGATGTGAGATGAATAATGTGCCTCGTACACCAGAGCAGTCGGCCTGGCTAAGGGGAAGCTATATGGATGAGACCTGAATGGTGAGGATGAGGAAGCCATGTTAAATCTGGGGAAAGAACATTTAAAGCAGAGGAATGGAAAGTTTAAAGGCACTGAGACAGAAACCGCCTTCATTGTTGAGTGAAGGAGTGACAGGGAAGTGGAGGGAGGAGAAGTCTGAGAGGTGGCCTTCAGGATGACGGTAGGCTGGCGTCTGAGGGCCCGAGTTTTCTCCACGTGTGAGGGAAGGCCACAGTGGGTTTTAAGAAGGGCTGTCATATGATCTGACTGACATTTACAGTTCACCCTAACAGCCTTGTGAAGAAGGCACCGTTGGAGACTCACCACTGGGCAGAGTTCCCAGTTAGAATAGAGCGCCCAGTTAGAAGGCAGCTGGCGTCACCCCCCAAGGGGAGAAGCAAAGCTGTCAAGCTGCTTCCATCCAGCTGGGGAGGCTTGTGAGCCCCCTGCCCCCCGCCACCCCAGGGAAAGGCAGGGAGTTGTGCACAGGGGCTGCATATGCTGGCAGTCTCTCGGTGCGGCCGGACAATCTAAGGAGGGGAAATGCATGAAGAATGGAACTGCCAGAAAAAACTTCATGGAAAAGAAACACCTTGAGGGAAGTTCATCATTTATATAAGATGGGCAAGTGCAAGGACACGAAGAAGTTATTTCATTGGAAATTATCTATTACTACTCCCTAACTCATAGCCCATTTCCATTCTTCATCCCCCTTGTGTTTTGAAAACCCTTTGGTTTTAGTGAAGCCTTTCTACCCTTCCAGCCACCCTACAGTTTCCTCTGTTGACTATACTTCCTCAGAGTGTGGACATCCCCCTTCCATCCTCAATTGTCTTCTTTGTCTGTCTCCATACTTCATCTTTCTCAATATACACACTCACTCTAGCAACCCAGTCCCCAGCTCTCTCCAGAATTCCTCTCCAGACTGTCTACACTCCACAGATGGTTTCATCTGGAAGAACTATCTCCATGTCTCACTCAGCATCAATCTTTTTGCATCTGTGTGATACACAGCACCCCATGACAAGAGCTTACATCACAATCTCTTATTCTCAAAAGCAGCCCACGGCAAAACTGCTCATTAGACATGGAAAAATATTTTTTCTGAGAATCTATATTAAAGCTAAAAACTCTATTTTGGAGTTTGGAATATTGACAAAGCTCAGACGTGTTTTTGACCTGAGCTGCTTCCACATGAAACAGGTGGAAATGATATTTAGTGGTTGTGAGTTTATACAATCAAACTGCATAAAAGGGACTGCCCCTGTAAGTTGCCATATAAAAATAGAAGTCTTTTACCTGTGACAAGACAGACCTTCCCTCTTTGGAACCTCTCAGGGCTAAGGGAAGCATTCCCCATGTGAATGAGGAGGAGGCTAAGATATGGAGAGAATGATCTATACAAGTACACGCCGAGTCCTGCACTGTATTTCTAATGAAAAGCACCTGCACACTGGGATTAAGGGGTCAAGCTCTAACTTTTTTTTTTTTCAAGCTCTAACTTTAAATTGAGATGCTTAAATCCAGCTCCACTATCGGTGTTGAATAAACTGCTTACCCTGAGTGCCTTCATCTGTACACTATTAGAGTTAATGCACGTTGAGTCCTTTAGAGCAAGCCTGCAACATTGTTCCCATATGATTCCATACAGAGTATGGCTCAGTGTGATTACTATGATGATGAGGATGAGAATAAGAGTAGAGGCAATTTTTGAATATCTACTTACGTGCAAGATACTGGGCTAAGCACTTTATATGCATTGTCACCTATCTTCACCACAATCCTGAGAGGCAGGAATTAATACACACGCATACATGTGCACACACATACTCAAAAAAACTGAATTGTCTAAGTTCTGACAACTAGGAAGGGATTGAGTTGACTCTCTGATTCCCTGTTTTGCCAGTGGTTCACCATTATGGCTCTACCAAGCCATAGGGCTTGTGTGGAGCCTACAGGTGTATCCACATCAACCAAGTAGCCCTGCTTCTGTCTGTGATATTTATTTGCTTTAGCAGAGATTTTCCTTCCAAAAAAAAAATCTCCTTCTCTATAAAAGTTTGAAAACACGGCACTATGTTAATGACATATGACTCTTGTAGTCAAACACAGGTTCTGAGTTGCTTTCTTGCAAAGTGATGACTTGCTCCACAAAGACTCCTTGGGAACCTACCATCCCGGCAACTCTTGGCTTACTACGGCTTGTCCCATTGCCAAGAGTAATGACGAGAGTTCCTTTGCAGTCCCTGAATGGTTTTCTGGGAAATCTCATTGTTCTGTCTTCAAGTCCCAAGATCCTTCATTCTCTTTTTTATAAAGTTAAACCTATCCAAGTTGACTTTATGCAGGGAAATCCAGGCCACATATTTGAAATCAGAAATCATTGCAGTAAATATTTGTACAAAGTGAAAACATACAAAATCTTTTAATTATAAAACCCAAACTCAGGGTTGGAATTATTCCATTTCAATGAAAAAGAAAAAAAAAAAAAAAAACCACACTGCCTGATCATTTTCAAATTTAGAAATTGGCAGGGGAATAATTTAACTTATTTTACATGGAAGGACAGGGGTCCTTTCCTGTATTAATTTTCTTCCATCTAGATTCCATTTCAATACTCAAAGCCAAAGATTTGAATAGAGAAAACTGAGTTAGAAACAATAATTGGAAAACCAGGTCACATATCTTCCTTTGTTTTGTTATGCATGAGTAAAGACCCAGGTTACACAATGAGGACAAAAGATAAAACCTTGAAGGTTGCTCTGAGCCTCAGCACATGCATAGGCTATGTAGATTTGTATAAGGAAATCTTCCTTTCAGTCCACAGAAAAGCATGCTCACAAAATCCCATTAGATTTTGTTTAACAGATATTCTTTTAAATGTGTGTTTTTGCCTGCAGGGGCAAGAGTTACCTTATCTTCAAAAATAAATTTGTTAAAATGGAAAAAATAAAATCAGAAGACTTCCTAATGACTTGAAAACCTAGTCTACCTATTTCTTTGTTGAGAAATAATTTCTGATATATAATACAGGTCATAAAATAGGATATTTGTACATAGATTAAAGGATAAAAGTTTTCTGTGTGGGAGGACAGAATTTTCAAAATGTTTTGTTGTGAAGTGATGCGTTGCATATCTAATTTCAGATTTTAATGCAAACAGCAAAGAACAGTCACAATTTGCAAAGATTATAGGTTATCTGGCTTTCTTGCAAATGAGAGAAGGTGAACAGAAGCCAAAATATTGGTGGCATCTTTCTCTAACCCAAGACTCTGGGCTCTAGTAGTTTAATTTTCCAATGTTAATAGACCGGTAGTTTAGTATGAGATGCTCCCTTTCTAAGTCAACCGAATTTTGTAAAGAAAGAAGCTTCCATGTCAAGAATAATTTCTAATCATTGGAATCAATTTGAAGACTTTTCCCTTTTGAGTGCTAAGAGCTCAGTGCTATCCTATGCTGGTAACCCTCTAACCCTCAGGCCAGCCCTCTATTCATTCACCAGGAGAATGAAAGTAAATGAAATGCATCTACTTCCTAAATGTACCCACAATTTCTCCATTATCATTCAATTACCATTCCATTATCATTCAATAATTGCTTATTTGCTAATGACAATGTACCAGAGCCACAGGACATCTCTATTTTTCTTTTTTAAAGCAAATATTTCAGGGTATTTAAAAGTATATGATTTCTAACAATAAATATAATAGGTATAATAAGTCTTTACCCATAGGAAAAAAAGTTAAATGTTTCTACTTTGGACCATCTATATTCCTCTATGGAGACATGTGGGCATTTGTTGCATTTTTTTTTTTCTTTTTTGTATTATCTCTTTACTTTTTTGTATTATCTCTTTACTTTTTTGTATTATAAAATAAAATTTACTTTTTTGTATTATCTATTGACACAGTTTTCTTGAACTGTTGAAAACTGTTAAATCTCATGAACTTCCCGTTGCTTTAATGAGTGCATAACCCTGATGCATTACAGAGGAAGGTTCCCTGCCCTGTACAACTCTCATTCTTGCCCAGGTTTCCACTTATCTATTCTTTACAGCATCAACCTCCAGCAATGCCTTTACTGCTTCTTCCTTCCATAGTGGAGGCTCCAAGTGGTAGAGTAGGATATTTGTCTGACACTTGGTCACTTTATGTGTACGCTCTTATATTTTCTTAACTCTCTATTATCTGTTTAATCTGAGTAACTGTAGAGCGATGGGTCATACATTTGCCTCCTGAAAACTCTTAATTAAAATAAGCATGCTCTTTGAAATTTAGAAAGGTAATGGTTATCCTTTCTTGTGGTTGAGTGGTCTGCTTTCTGAAAAACTGTAGCTTTCAAGAATATTTCATGTGTCCTTTTGTAAAACATTCAAGTCATTTAAAATTACAGTAAGAACTTCTAACCCAATCTTACTCACTCTTGTATCTTTCACATCTGATAACAGTATCTTGCTCATAGTCACGTCTTTATAAATTCTTATTGAAATAAATGAAGGAGAACTGCTTGCTTTGTATCAAATGAGGTTAAGGGATTTCTCTTCATTTATGCTCAAGGTGAGACTTACTTATACAGGTATTTATGTAAAGTCATAGGCCACTACATCATGTAACACTCTCTTTATAAGGACACACATTGTAGACTGAATTGTGTCCCCCAGAATTCATTATCTTAGAGCCCTAACCCCCAAATTGACTGTATTTGGAGATGGGGTGTTAAGGAGGTAATTAAGGTTAAATGTATGGTCCCATAACGGTGGGACCCACTCCAGCAAGACTCTAAGAGTCACCAAAGAACTCTCACTCTTTCCCATGTGCTCATGGAAAAGGCCATGTGAAAACGCAGAGAAAAAGGAAGCCATTTACAAGTCAGGAGGAGAGTCCTCACCAGAAACCAACCCTGACAACACTGGGAGCGTGGACTTCTAGCCTCCAGAACTCAGAAAAAATAAATAAAATGTCTGTTGTTTAAGCCACCCAGTATTTTGCCAGTATTATGGCAGCCCAAGCAGACTAGTACAGATTTTGGTGCCAGGAAGTGGGGTGCTGCTATAACAAATAAAATGTGGGAGTGACGTTGGAACTGGGTGGTGAGTAGAGGCTGGAAGAGTTTTAAGGCACACGTTTTCTTCAAAGCAAGCTTTCTCATTTTTGCAATATGGATAGACTGAGACCTTCCCAAATCTTTATGTCTGATTACTTTTTGCTTAACAGTCCTGTCGATTTATCTACTTCCTCTTGTGTTTTACTATAAGCAGTAAGGAGAAAGCAGGATGTACCTTCAACACTTGGCTTAGAAACCTCAGCTAAATATCCAATTTCATTGCTTACATGTTCTGCTTTGCACAAAACACAAGAACTAAATTTAGCCAAGTTCTTTACCATTTTATAATGAGGGTCAAATTTTCTCCAGTTTCCAATAGCATACTCTTCATTTCTTTTTTTTTTTTTTTTCATTTATTTTTATTAGTTGGAAGCTAATTACTTTACAATATTGTAGTGGTTTTTGTCATACATTGACATGAATCAGCCATGGATTTACATGTGTTCCCCATCCCGATCCCTCCTCCCACCTCCCTCCCCATCTGATCCCTCTGGGTCTTCCCAGTGCACCAGCCCTGAGCACTTGTCTCATGCATCCAACCTGGGCTGGTGATCTGTTTCACCCTTGATAGTATACTTGTTTCAATGCTGTTCTCTCAGAACATCCCACCCTCGCCTTCTCCCACAGAGTCCCAAAGTCTGTTCTGTACATCTGTGTCTTTTTCTGTTTTGCATATTGGGTTATCATTACCATCTTTTTAAATTCCATATATACGCATTAGTATACTGTATTGGTCTTTATCTTTCTGGCTTACTTCACTCTGTATGATGGGCTCCAGTTTCATCCATCTCATTAGAACAGATTCAAATGAATTCTTTTTAATGGCTGAGTAATATTCCATTGTGTATATGTACCACAGCTTCCTTATCCATTCGTCTGCTGATGGGCATCTAGGTTGCTTCCATGTCCTGGCTATTATAAACAGTGCTGTGATGAACATTGGGGTGCACTTGTCTCTTTCAGATCTGGTTTCCTTGGTGCGTATGCCCAGAAGTGGGATTGCTGGGTCATATGGCAGTTCTATTTCCAGCTTTTTAAGAAATCTCCACA